TTGATAGAAAAAAATGAATAGTTATAAAATGAGTAGAATGATAGAAAATGTAAACGGGACGAAACGAGTGTGGGACGAAACGAGAGGGGACGAAACAAGTGTGGGACGAAATGAGACGGGACGAAACAAGAGCTAATTAACAAATACGGGACGAAACGAGAGTAATCCCTCTATTGTTGGCTCTCTATAAGATTTGTTTATGAAATAAGCACATCTTTTCATCTAAATTCACATTGTTTTTTGTAATGCTCTGTTCGTTGATTTTTCTTATTAAGAAATTTATATTATTTGTATTTTTAAATTCTTTTTTCATGTTTTAATGTGATTTATCCAATGATCTGAAATATTTTTACAGTTTTTCCAACCCAGCGACTCTTTTTCTAAACCTTTTATATCTCCCATACATAATTAAAAGCCATGAAAAAGAAACGAATCGGGAAGATTCTTATGCGGCAAAAACGTACAAGAAAAGCAAAAGCAGACTAGCAAGAGAAACCAGCAAAAAACAGTCAGAATCATGTATCCTTCGTACATAAAATCATATATAATCGTATAAAATCAAACATGATCTTATCTAATCTTACTCTTTCGCACATAAGATCTCATAGGATCAGATCAGATCATACAATATCGTGTGTACGATTGTTGTACGAAACGTATAGTCTGGGCCCTGTGACTTTTCAGGGACCACGAGTCGGACGCCAATCGTACCGTTTCGTATGTATAAATTTATACGATTATTCTAGATCATACCAGTTCGTGTGCGATCATACCGTACAATCGTATCTGATCATATTCGATCTGATACGATCCGCTCGTACGATTCTTCGATCCTTCTTCGCTTAATGTAAATTCGGTGGATCATGGAATCACTTCTTGACTCCCCTACTTCTACTGATTCAATTCACCCTACATTAACTGACTCATCCACCACGTCCACTGAAAAATCAATTATCTATTCATGCACCGATGTTCGTTTACGACTGCATCAGCACACTGTAATTACGGTGTTATTGAGGCGGAAGAGGCGAAGTAAACGTTAACGTCTACTGCTCCTCCTTCGCTTTAATACACTATATTTACTCGCTCATCGTCGCGGCTACACCAGTTGGGACATACGTCATCTTCACCTCGTTCTCACGTTCCACCTCTAACCCCTCTCATTGCTCTTCGTGTCACACCTTCACCATCGTGTTTTTCATCGCTGCTTCTCGTCTTCAACCACTCATAGATACTAACTTTTCCCATTACCTACCGTCACGACAACTGCCGATTTCGTGTAGACGAGACATCCATCCGCATTCATCTTCTACACGATCTACCACTAGCCTCAAATGTCCGTTTACCGCAATACAACGATTAAGCGTCTCTCAGCATCCCATCTGTACACTACACTCACACTTTATTGTAAAAGATGAGGAACTATATATGGATTTATGAACAGTACGTTAAATGTGGTAAACCGACTGTGTTAAATTGAAATTCCCCACAGAGAACAGAGGGAGAGAAAATCTATCATTCAACACGAGGAAGAAAACAGAATAGAGAAAATTACATAAGGGGAAAATCCCAGAACATATAGAATAGCGCGCAAAAGTATATGTATACATGTTTATAAGGAGAATAGCAGAAGTGATGGTATGATCTAACCGAAGGTGAAGATCATAACACCTCCCCCCTACAACAAAGATGCGCGTACCGCGCATCGAACAACTATCAGTGCGTGGGTTATCATTATTGTGTACACCCATGTAGTGGTTATTGTGATCCACTGGAAGTAGGCGTTTGAGTTGTCACACCTCAAATTAACCATGTATATGTGATGATTGGGTATATTGTCGAAATATCCATAGTTTGATAATGCTGAGGCGTTGCCACATCGCCTTCAATCGCCATTGGTGATGATAATGATGCATTATTGTAGTAATATACATGAATTGTGATCAGATACGCCGCTGCACAGCCGGCTGTAACTGACTAATATGAGCCGTCGTGGTTTTGCCTGTTTCAGTATCTTCTACCATATAGTTTTGTTCACCTGTTCTGTTGATCACGCGACAAAGTCCTAAGCACATACCTTGAGAAACACTAAGTCATCAATAGAATAACTAATATCCTTGTGACGTTTGTCATATCGTTGTTTTGTTAATCGTTGTTGATGACGGATGTTTGCTTGAACTTGTTTCAGAATTATTCGTCGTGTTTTTATTAAATGTTTGTAAAAGGCATCCGATTGATTTAAAGTGAAATTGTCTAACGTGGGATCGAATGGGCTCTTCTGCCTTCGTCCAAAAGCAAGTTCATATGGGACAAAACCAGTTGTAGCATGACTACAGGTATTGCAGGCATAAACCACTGATTGAAGATAATCGTCTCAGCCATCTTTATTTTCATCATAGTACTTTGACAGCTGTGTACAAAAGGTAGCGTTAAACCGCTCGACCTGGCCAGGTTGTTTGAAGATGGTACGAAGCTGAAAATGCAAGAGCAATACGCATCATTGTGGTGATATTTTTTATTAATATGTTGTTAAAATGTACACCATTGCCTGTGATAATTCGTTCAGGGGCACCATGCACCATAATGAATTCGGCAGCAGCCTTAGCAGTATTATTTGGCATCGCTTTTGCTATTACATATTTGGATAAATTGTCCGTAAGGACTAGTACCTATCGATTTCCTTGCGCTGATGTGCGGACAGGATCTCAGAAATTCATATGTAGTACCTGAAATACATCTGTTGGTGGATCAAACGATTTAAGATGACCTGGTGTTTTACTGCTTAGGATGTTGAATTTCATACATTGTTGACAAGATGATATGTAATGCTCAATTGATTGGCGCATATTGGGCCACCAGAACCAGATATAATGTCCGTGTACTTCAAAATGCCCACTCATTGGATGATCGTGAAATGCTTTGAGTGCGATGTTGAGCATTGATGCAGGTAAGTATGGAACCTTGCTCTTGGGTCATGTTTTCTCTTGGCCACAAGACGGAATAAAATATTGTTGTATAACACAAAGTTGTCCATTTCCTTTTGAGCATGAATATGTGAAATAATGAGCTGAATATCGGTATCATTATCTTGTTCAGTTTTGATCTTTTCCAAACTAAAATCTGCAATTGGTGTGGATGTACTTAGAGGTGGTGTTGTGATGGGGCTTTGTTCTGTCACTGTTGGTGGTAATGAAGCACTTGGAGATACCTGTTTTGTCATTGATCGAGTGATGCCGGAAAGCGACTGTTGTTGATTATCCGTACCGATTGTTTCATATCGAGTAAGATAATCGGGTCCGATATTGTCAATGCCACGTCGATATTGAATCTCAATAATTTGTGGTATTAGATCTTGTAAATGTGTCAACCAATTATCTATCCTTTTGTTTCCATAATTTTTCTTCTTATGCATATTGACAAGTGGTTTGTGGTTTGTTTTGATGATGATCTCGGAATCTCCGATATAATTTCTTAATTCAGTGAGACACCAATAAATTGCTAAAGCTTCCCGTTCTGTGACTGGATATCGACGTTCAGTATCGTTAAGTAATGGTGATTTGTAGTAGCAGATCTTCAGTCCGTCAACTGGTCAACTGTCTTTTGCTTGAGTACTCCAGCAATTCTTAGTTCACTAGCATCTGTGGATAAGATAAATGGTACTGATCGGTCTGGAAAATCGAGGAACAGTGGTGCACTTGTCAGTATTGATTTAAACTGATCAAAGGCATCTTGCTGTTCTTGATCTCACCGAAATTCATGTTTTTTCGGTCGTGTTTTATTGGTAACCTTGTGAATAGGTGCCGCAATTTTTGCAAAATCTCGAATAAATTTACGATAATAGCCAACTTTACCAATAAATTTGTTAGCTTGTGAGAGTGTCTTTGATGAGGCAATATCAACAATTGCTTTGACCTTGTCTGGTGATGGTTCTACTTTGCCACCTGTAATGATGTGGCTTAAAAATTCAATTTTCTCCACGGCAATTGAACATTTCGGTGGTGACACTTAAAAATTGGCCTTGTGAAGCGTTGAAATGACATCGGCCACGTGCTGTTTGTGCTCTTTGATTGTTTTTGAAAAGATGACAATGTCATCGAGATAGACGACCACATAGTCTCATCGTCCATTAGCCAATAATTCATTCATCATCCGTTGGAATGTTGGTGGCGCATTCATAAGTCCTTGAGCGAGCACCAAAAATTCATATAAGCCATCTTGAGTGATTATAGCCGTCTTCGGGATATCTGATTCATGTATTGGAATTTAGAAGTAACCCGACTTCAAATCCAATTTCGTGAAGTATCGATGTCCTGCCAGGCGGTGGAGCAGTTCCTCAGCCGATGGTTGCGGATACGAATCCTTCTTGGTGATTGAATTGAGCCGGCGAAAGTCAACTAAAAATCGATAGGTAGCATCTGGCTTCATCTTTAGCAGCACTGGAGACAACTATGGTGAGTTGGACGGTCGAAGAATGCCTTGATTTTGAGTAGCTTTCCCACTTCCTGTTGCATTTCTTTTCTTTGTTGAATCGTCTTACAGTATGGTCGGACGCTTGTTGGTGGGTGATCACCAGTGTTGATGGTATGATGAATCTTGATGTTTGCTCGGGTCATTTTTGAGGTGTCAAATGAACGCTTGTTTTGTCGAAGGATATTAAGAAAATACTTACGATGATGTTTGTCATTAATGTGCAACACTAATTCTTGTAGAACATTGTCGAGTGATGATAAGTTGGACGATTCTTGTTGTTCATTTATTTATATCGAATGGAGGTGGACACTTTGTTCTGTCGTACTTGGTTGATTCGCTGAGTTTAATATGTTGTACATTATTTCATCATTCGACTGATAGTGTATTGATCCCAACTTTGTATTTTTAGCTAATGTGTGGACATATTTATGAGGGTTATAAATGCGCATATAAAATGAGAAATCTTTTATTTCAACAAAAGCATCAGGCATCTGAATATTTAACTTTACACATTTTTAAACTCTGGTGAAAATGAGGCAAGAGTAGCAGATGAAATAGGCACCTGCATTTTGACAATGCGTTCATGATTTGGTAACAATACGATGTATTTGGCGAGGCGAACATCGACCGAACCCACATCAAGGAACGGTGTTGTTGTAGTTCCGTATTGTGGATGACTGATCTCAACTTGGTTTTTACCAATATTCACGTTCATATTATTTGAGTTACACCAGTCCGTACCAAGAACTAACTTAGCGCCTAATGAAGCGACAATAAGGGCTGTAATGACAGTGGTAATATCATTGATAGTGACACTTAATTCAACTGTACCATTGACCATAATATTGGTTCGCCCATCACCAAGTGTCGCCGATGTTTGAATTGGCGGATGCATAATATTGTCAAGTTCAGCTTGTGAAATGAAGGATGTAGTAGCCCCCGTATCAACCATTGCGTGAATTGATTGATCATTGACAAGTGTATCAATTATAATAAGTGATGGATGAGATTGTGAAAAGGAAGTGCGACCATCACACACTCCCCCTAGTAGTTTTTTGAGCAATTTGTACTGATAATGGTCCATATCACCGCATGCTGAAGACAGTTTAGTTGATGATATTCATAGGACCGCCGAAATTTCTTGAAGACACATGGTACTCAACGCACTCTACAAACCGGCATAATTTGAGGGCAGTTTTGGAGGTGCCTACGTCCTCTTAAGAGAATTCTTTTTAAAGTACAAGGTAATGCTCATCTGCACTTGCTCGATCGCCTGACTTTATGAACGTGTATCTACGAAAAACTTTCCACGGCTTTGAATCCAGGACAACACCAGAGTCCAATCTTCTGATTTTTAAGATTTTCTCCTAATTTTAAATTGTTTTCTTTCATCGATTTTAGCGACATTTTGAACCAATAAAACAGCCGAGAAGAAAAAGGGAATTGTCGTACAATACATCCCAGGTCAATTATCTTGCAAAAACCGCGATGTGACTCGCGATGAAAAGTTACGGCGTGAACGCGTCATGTGAATAGCAGTCTAGTCGCTAAATGTGACGCTCTTATCACGATCGCTATAAATTCGCGATGAAGTGAAATTTCTGCTATACTTTCGCTAGACTCGCGGCGTGACTCCCTAAGTCGCTATATGAGTCCCGCTGTCTATCCATTAAACTAGAGCGAATCTTCATTCTCGCTATAGAAATCCCTATGTCACGACATGAGTCCTACATTTTATGGAAAAAAATCAGCGCGATAGACTGTTCTCGCTACATGAGTCCTACTTTCGCGAAGAGAATTTTTTCATTCTCGCCGTTTTACAGTGTTGTTTTCTTGCCTGGAGTATCATCCAGCCTTGTGATAAAGCAAGTATACCAGTTTTTCTTCTTTGCTACATGTTCGTTCAACATTATTTACGATAAATCACAGTAAAATCACAAAACAGAAAGATAAGCATGAGAAAAAGAGTAATATCAGAGGTTTGCATTTCAGGGAAGAAGAATACTTTGTCAGCATCCAGTTGGGCACTTAAGTGCACCATGTTTTACCGGCTTACTGTTCGGAACATGATGCACGTAACAAGCACAGAATTTCTCAAGATCCCGCAGCGATTTCGCGATCGCTCCGTGACATAGCGTTCACGCCGTGATAGTTAAATCGCGATGTGACTCTTAGAAAAAAATTTCAATTAATTAAGACTTTCTTAAGATCTTATCGCGAGAGCGTGACTTTATAGCGATCACGTCGCGAGTGATCGGAGTTCATAGCGATCGCTTCGCGAATGTGGCATGACAGTTGATCTGGGACAGTCATGTTGAATAAATACCGCGGACGGTGTAGCAAACAGTTTGTTCTCTGTATTCGCTTTAGTTTTTTGGTTCTTGTCGGTTTCGTAGGAAATATTTGTCTATTTGTTTATACTGTTAAATGAACAGCTGGGAAAATACCAGTGGAATAAACTACATAAGCGTTCCATTTATACTAGTAGTGAAACTGAAATAAAAGAGGTGAATGACTTGTCGTCAAAACGGCCTAAAGACGGTCAGTATGCTGACACTGTTGAAACGGCCGGTTTACTGTGACGTTGTTTTATAGCTTTATTTATTAGCTGTACAACGATAGAAGTTGTGCAATCGGCTCGATGTTATCAGTAGTCATTTTTTTTGGTATGTTTTTGTGTTCTGTTTGTTTTATAGCTTTATACTGTGACGTTAACGGAACGTTTTCACACCGTTAACGAGCCGTTTTTTAGATGACCGTAAACTGGCCGTTGAACGTCCGTTGACGCACCATCCCGTTTGACCTGTGATAGACCTTATTACTTGCTTGGTAGAAAAAAGTTACAAGCATGCAAATTTTGCTTGTCCAAGAAAAAACTGCGTGGTATTCCTGTTTTTCTCCTGATTTTTTACCTAATCAACTCTTGATTTCGAAAAACTGGAATTCGCCACCCTAGACCACACTCACACCTCTGTTCAGTCGGAAGTATTTCTGACTGATTCGCTATGATAGATGATGTATCTTTTGTAAGTTTTATTTGTTACTATTAGTTTTATTTACAATTGTCGCATAATGGTACAATCGATAATAAAGATTTATGGATAACATTTATGAATAACATTTATGGATGTCTTGGTTCGACTCAGACACACAGATAGGCAGACAACTATTTTATACAATCCTACACTAAAGTCAAGGAAATAAATATAATAAAAGTCTATGTAATAGAACTGTACTTTCCGTATATAACACGTGTCTTGTCCCATCCTATGAAAGTGAGAAAATAAGAAAAATAAACAGAACGTAGGAAACATTTATGTTCTGTTATTTGTTTTTCCTGTAAGTAAAAGAGAATTGTCCATCAGGACTGCAAATATTGGGTAGTCATAGAGAGAGGTAGATACAGCTAAGCAGCGAAAGAGAAATTTCCTTTGTTATATTATATGCCACATAAAAAAAACATTGTAAACTGCGCTGTATACTAACGTCATCTATAGTATAGTCTCTTCAAAATGTCGTTTTTAGCCGAAATTTCACTAGATTTTTTTCTAAAACATATTTTTAACTTTAAAAACTTTTCCTTAAAGCCATTTTGACGTAGAGACTCAAGTAAAAAACTGTTCAATGGTTAAAAAGTGATTTTAGAACGAAGTGATTTTAACTTCAAATGACCAAGAATTCGTTGGCTCGCGTTTTTTCCTCCGTCTTTTAACGCATGCTATATGCGGTTATCGATTGTTATATATAGATATTTTCCTCTTCACTTTTTCGTAAGATTTACATCGCTGTGTTATATGTTTTCCAAGAGTTTCTGATTTTATAGAATGTTGTCAGGGGCATATTTAGGTGGGATTGACAAAAATCAGTCCTCATTTATGTGTTTTGAATATTAGTATCATCGTAGAATACAGTTGATCAGACAAACTTTCTCATTATCCAAACATCAGTCTCACAAAGTTGTGGATGATCTTTGAAGATTAAATAAGAACGGTTTTGACTACGTATGCTGGTCTGAAGTTGGTATTTCGTATATGCTTCTTATGAAATGGTGCTATAGTCTGACTTTGTCTTCTATGTTAGTTATTTTTAACAACTTTTCTGTGCTCTTTTATGATATCACTAGCGATAAAAATTGAATAATCTAATGTAGTGACTTTTCACAAAGAAAAACATTCTCCCAAGCTTTACATAAATCAAAACATGTTTGTTTGCTGCTTTAATAATTTATATAGTTTGTTGAATATTTTTCTTTCTAGAACAAAATGTCATTATTGTCTAAAGATATAAATTTCATTCTTAATCTATTAAATGAAGATACATGTGGTACAAATTTAACGTTTGATCAAATATCTACACAATTTCAACATGGAATAAATAAGCATGATTACTTAAAAGTCGGTAATGCTCTTGTTTTACTACTACAGAATCGTGATTTAACTCCGACATCACAACAACGTCTTATTATTTTGTATTTATTCTTTGACATGTATAAAATTGAACCATTACATTTACATACAAATCCATTTGCACCTGTTTTTCTTACTGTTTTATATCCTTCTCAAACATTAGGATCGATGTCAACAATAAACGATACGAATAACGATACGACATCCACAGCTACAGTGCAACAAAAACGTTTTCATTGGATAATATCAAAAGTAACATCACATGAAAGATGGTTTGTGCATACACTAATGAGCGGTAGTAGTACGACAAAAGATTTGTTAAAAAAAACGCCAAATCAAATCTTACAGATGCCACTTCCATCATCGCCTTTATTCGATGATAGTAATCATGATTATTTTAAACAACAAGTAATTGAACGTACAAAACAATTACCGTTGACTGCTCAGTGTCATTTACCAGCTGTTATCGATGATCCTGAAACAAATAAATATAATTTCGATACATTATTTACTCGTAATGGTGCTCTAAATAATAATAATATAAAAGATGATTATAAACAAGTTGTAGAAAAATTATTTATTGGTCAAAAACCATCTATGGAACAAACTATACGTCCAGAATTTTTACGTTTAGTACCACCATTACATATTAGTCTTGATTGCGATGAGTTAATATGGATGAATCCAATTGAAAATGATAATCATATGGTAGCATGGGATGGTTCAATGTGTATAACAAATAAAATAAGTATTGAAATTCGACAATTGATGGATAAAGCGTATATGGGTCAATTAAATTTACAACAACAACAAAAACTATTAGATGAATTAGAAACAGATCCGTGTATTGTCTATCATATTGGTTTGACACCATCAAAATTACCATCTCTTGTTGAAAATAGTCCACTAATAGCTATCCAATGTTTATTAAAATTGATGCCTAGTAATCAATTAACAGAATATTTATCGTCATTAGTTAATATGGATATGTCATTACATTCAATGGAAGTTGTTAATCGTTTAACAACATCAATTGATTTACCACAAGAATTTTTGCATTTATACATTTCGACATGTGTAACAACATGTGAAAATACCAAAGATCGATTTTTACAAAATAGATTTGTGCGTTTAGTTAGCGTATTTATTCAGTCATTAATTCGAAATAAAGTTATCGATGTTAAAGATTTATTTTTAGAAGTTCAAGGTTTTTGTATCGGTTTTAGACATATTAAAGAAGCAGCGGCTCTATTTCAGTTGGTCAAAAAAATGGATAGTAATAATAACAACAATAATAACGGTAATGGTAATTCGCATACAATAACAACAGAAGAAACAATATCATCAACAGAGGAACCTATGTTAAATGATTAAATTTTGAACGTTTATCTGATAGTTTTCAAAATTGCAATTTTATTTTTATATCTCTTATGATATTTAACAATGATAAAAAGTCATTTTTACAACACAACAGATTTTGTTGATTGAAGAGCAGTGCATACTATACATTAGATGAGTTCGAACGATATAAAGTGATGTTCATTGGTATGTCTATTCATCAGACGGAGATCGATTTGTGAAAGAAGTTTTTTATTAGACTGAAGTCATTACTACAACGCAGGCCACAAGTGAGAAGAAAAAAGCTGGTAATGTGAACTTCTTCAGTCGATATCAGGAGTGAGGCTAGTTTTGGACGAACTTAAGCGATACATGCTGAAAAAAGATAGGTATAATATGTTACAGATGTTGCGTGAAGTTTAAACAGAATATTTTAAATAGTTTATTAGAAAAATCTGCCATTACCATCTCCCTTGTCAAAACCTTCTATTTCAAGTTGTAGTAATCCTGTTACTTTTTCATGTTGTGAATAGAAATTTCTTCAATACAAACAACTTTAACGAAGGAGATGACAATATCGATTAGATGGAATGATAACATTGCCGGATGACGGCGAAGTTTTTTTTTCTTTATTTTTCTTTTGTATTATTTCGTTTTTTTTCCTTGAAATTGTTTGCTTGTTTTCTGAAGTCAATAAATGGCTCTGTTGTTGTTGCTGTTTTTACTGTTTCTCTTGATTATTGTCGCAAAGTTTTTTTTATATATGTTTGTTTATTTATAATTTTTTTACTTACAGTGATATCAGTGATCGTTTAGAAAACATAAGATAATATAGATAACGATATGACTAAAGATTCGTCATTTGGTGTCTGAAATAACTTAGCAGCAAATATTTCGTTTCTCGTGCAATTTCTAGCAAGAATTGTCTACAGAGGATAAGAAAACTGCATAGTATTTTATATACTAACTGTTACATTCAAATCTAGAGGATGCTCGTTCTAGATGATAAGAAATGGTGTGAATAAAACTTCGGTTGTTATCCATTCTTTTTTCTAGAAATATGTCCACACAGAGTAGTATTTTATTTGATAATACTTCATTATCCGATCAACAACAACAGCAATACTATTCTTCATCATCAAATTTACACTATGATTTATCATTAATTGCTCCTCTAACGTTATCAAGAAGAAATACCGTTAGAAAATTTGGTGATGCAGGAATTATTCATCTACCAAAACTAAAACCAAAATCAACAATGAGTTTATTATCTCATGAATTTGGTAGTGATGATATTATGACAAGAAGTATCACTAGTAGCGAGCAAGAAATAGCTCTGTTTAAGAAAAATTTTGACCGACAACGAGCCTCATTATCAGTAAGTAAAAATAACCTATTCACAATTAGAAAAAAGACACTAATGGTTTATGTTTTTGTACTGTTCAACCATTTTAGTACTGATTATTATCTTTGGTAAGAAGAGAGCTCAATGTGCATGATATTTTTTGCTATTAGAATTAATCAATCTGCCTCAGGAAAATTGCTTGTATATTCCTCTTTAATTTGCTTGTTGCTAACATTTTTATTCCACTATATTGACCAAGAACTCATTAGTTTTTTCTTATTTTTATTTTATTTAGCAATGTCTTGAAGATAATCGATATAAAATTGATCGTGCTCATTATAGAATAGGAAATTTTCAACAGTTGAACGAAGCACGTGATGATTTACTTCATCAATTGTCAAAAGAAAACGTATCAGTTATCAATAAGGTTGATTAGTCAGTCTTGTTAACAAAAAATTTTCTTTTATAAACGTATACATTTGTTTTAGATTGAAACTTTAAAACAAGAAATTATTGATGAACGTCATCAACGAGATAGTTATGAAATGGAACAGCTTGTTTTACAACGAAAATTAAATCATTTAAAACGACAGAATATTCGTGAAGAAGCACCATTAGAAGATATGGCCAAAAAGCAATTATTAAATGATGAGGTATGCTGTTAAATCATATTTCCGTAAGAACAATATAATATGTTAGAAACAGAGAAATCTCATTTACTCTCAGCATCAAGAATATCTTTTGAGACTAACAAAAGAACAAACGAGACAGTGTCATAAACGGGATGAAGAAATCGAGCAATTGAAAGAAAAACTTTGTGAATTATTTAACTATAAAGCAGAGTAAGTTCATTAATTTTCATCGAAATATTTGCTTATATATTAACTTTACTATCTTTTAGTGAATGGACAAAACTCTTATATGCAACACAAACTGCTCTAAATTATGAAAATCAGAAGAAAGAAATTTTGAAACAGAAATTAGATTATATTGAAAAATATGAACTGAAAGTACGATGTTGTTTTATACTTACTGTTGAGTATTATTGCTTTGAAATTATACTCTAGATCTCGTAATGTTTAAACTTTTTTAAAATATTTTTTTCATCTACTCTAACAAATTGTTTAATAGTACTTTCTAATCATTGGTGAATAAGAAAAATTTGAGTGATCATTGACATTTATTCATTTTTGTTCCCATAAATTTTATCTACAGTATACCTCTTGTTTAATATTCTTTATTTTTCTATTTTATTCTGTTTATTTTTTTTTTATCTTATCTATTTTTAGTCGACAAAACCATGTTGTCTATTAACATCATATCGTTTAAGTAAAATTTCAACTGAATTACGTTTATACAAGATTATTGAACGAAGTTTGTATGATTTATTTGGCTCTAGTTGTTCATGCGGTTCATTTCAACGTGCAAAACTTACATTTTGTCGTTTGCATACAGAGCAAAAAGATTGATGAATGTTTTTATTTGTAGTTAGTTTATTATAATAGATATAATAAATATTTTTTATATAAAAGTGAATAATTTTTTATTATTATTACATATCAATTTGAATGTGTGTGTTCATTTAAATCTCTTTTATATAATTATAATTTTTTTTGTTTTTAATTAATTTGAGATGTCGATAAAGACGGTTAGTCGTTCGAATATGAATCAAATACCAAATGATATATTAAATGATAAAGAATTAAATGAACAAATGAAACAATTACCAGAAAATTATAATTTTGAAATTCATAAAACAATATGGCGTATTCGAACACTAAAAGCAAAAAGAGGTAAATAATAATAATAATACATAATTTTAGATAAAAATTAGATTTATTTTGTTTTTTAAATCTCTTTTTTAGTTGCAATGCAAATGCCTGAAGGACTTTTCGTATTTGCTTGCACTATTGCTGATATATTAAAAACGTAAATACTTTTGATAAGAAAAAATAGAAAACCAACTAATTAAAATTAAATTAATTTTAGTTTTACCAATGTAGATATTGTTTTGATGGGTGATGTAGCATATGGAGCGTGCTGTATAGGTTGGTTAATTGTTTTTTTTAAAATTCATATTGTCCACTTTTAATATGTTTTTTATTTTTCAGATGATTATGGTGCTCGTGCACTTAAATGTGATTTATTAATTCATTATGGACACAGTTGTCTTGGTAGGTAAGTAGATTATTAGACGAGTCGATGAATAGTAGAAAATAAGAAAATTGTATTTTTAATGTTTTTTAGTGCCAATTGATGAAACACCAGGTATTAATATATTATATATATTTGTCGATATTCAGATAAATGTTCAACATCTTATTGATACAATCAAACATAATTTTAAATCAGATATAAAATTAGCACTTGTTAGTACAATACAATTTTTAAGAACCTTACAGGTTTGTTATTCTGTTTTATTTCCTATAATATTTTCTTAAACTAACAATGTTTTGATGTTCATCATAGATTGTTAGTCAAGAATTAAAATCACAATATGCTGATATCATTTTACCACAAACAAAACCTTTATCACCTGGTGAAATTCTTGGTTGTACATCACCAGTAATCGATAAATCATATTCAATACTTTATATTGGAGATGGCCGTTTTCATATTGAATCAATGATGATACATAATCCACATTGTCAAGCTTATAAGTCAGTTATATCATTTTATGTTTAGGTTTTAATATAAATTTGATTCGTTTTTTTTCTTCTTCTTCTAAAGATATGATCCATATTCAAAAGAACTAACACAAGAATATTATGATACGACAACAATGCATTCTGTTCGTCAAAATGAAATAAAAAAAGCAGCACAAGGCAAAATATGGGGAATTATTTTAGGATCATTAGGACGTCAAGGTTCACCAAAAGTGTTAGAGGTAAGAAATGTTACAAGATTGTCAGTCTATAATATTTTTCTCTAGTTTTCTTTTTCCCATTTATAGACCATCAAGAAACGTCTCAGTGCAAATGAAAAAAGTTTCATTCAGGTTGTGATGCCCGAGCTGATGCCAGAAAAACTTCAATTATTTAAACAAGTTGACGCGTAAGAGAAATAATATTTATCAATTGAATTAGAAACAGAAAAAAAGTGTATGTTGACTTTTTAGAACTTTTATTTAATGGATGTTTTTCATAATATTATAGATGGATTCAAACATCTTGTCCTCGTTTATCCATTGATTGGGGTGCTGGTTTTCAAACGCCTATTTTGACGCCGTACGAAGTATGTATTCTCAATGTTTTAATATTTCTCAAATGTATAATATTTTTTTTTTATAGGCAATGGTAGCTCTTCAGCAAGTTGAATGGCAAAAAATTTATCCTATGGATTTTTATTCACAAAATAGTCTTGGACCATGGACTCCGAATAATGGTGAAAATCGTCCTCTAAAACAACGACAACAACGAAAAAAAATTGAAATTGTTTATGATGATAAAAATTTACTAAATGGTACAGATCAGACTATATGTATTTCTGAAAATAAACAATGTGATGAAACTTTTCATATTGATCAAAATAAAGGATAAAATAAACCGATAAATCTTTTAATTTATACTAAAGTTTCCGTTTCCTAAGCTTTAGAAGTTGCAATTAAAAGTATTTTATCAAATAGTGTTAAAGTTTAAAACAACTCTTTTCTTCTGTTGGATGACATTTTTTTTCCCTAAAAATAAACGTGTGTAAATGACTATTTTTATATTGTACGAATAGACTGAAATGTTACTATAATTAGTTGATTTCTGTTTTATTTAAAATTTTAGATTCTTATATTTCCATGTCCCCATCTTTTTCTGCATTTGATTGAATAAGAAATAGTTATTTTAACTTGTTAATGACCACATAAATGCATCCTAGAAGCGTTTTGTTAGGAGTCATACAAGACAGGTAATTAATATTGGTTTTTTCAACAATATAAAAGAACTTATTGACCTAAAAACATTTTTTTTTGTTAGCTGTACTTCTAAGATACAGCATGTGAAGTTTTTTCCAACACTTTTTCATGATGATTTATCAAGAATAAATGTTTAAAAATGAGTTATTTATCCTCATCATCAGTGAAAACAATCTTATACGATGATTAACTTAGTATCCACTTTTCTATTCAAATGCCGTGCATGAATTAATCATTTTTGCGTCCTCAAAGAATGTGCTTTTATTTTGAAAACATGTTGAGTCGTTTCTCAATAAACAGGGCAACATAGCAAAAAAAAATAATAAAAGAACAAAAGAACGAACGAACGAAAAAAAGAAAGAAAGAAAAAGTAAAAAACAGCATGTTCTTTACAGTCTACCATTAGTAATTCTTCGAATCATCATGAGATTGATATATATATATGTATGTTTGAATAGAACATTATGCATGCGTCATCATAGTTTTAGAGTACATGAATGTGATGCAATATGTGGGTGTAAAAGGAAAGAAAATTAATAATACCACACATTTGTATTGCATCACGCAAAACTAACTTGTCCATTTTAATTTTAACAAATTATGCTGACTTGAAAAATGAGTCAAGATAAATAATCGTCTAAGTTGTTGTTATTTTTTTATAGAAAAAGAATGATTATCAATTTTTTTTATATAGCTCAAGAAACAAAGTACATTTTGTTGTATTAAAATTAATTTTAGCTTATCATCTTGTTTCTGTCGACTACAAATCTTTGCCAAGATTTCGAGCTTGATCTTAATAACTTGATTAGTAGTAGTAAGGATAGGTCCTGAGAATGTTATGTCAAAAGAAATGAAAATTTTCAAAAAACATTTCTCTTCACTGTTGTTTGATTCCGAACATCAACGTGTGTGTGTTGTCTTGATTTAAATTTCCATTTCAAAAATTGAATTGAATCTTGGTTAAAAAAAAATGTGGCGATAACAACTTTACTTTATTATATTGAAGGTCAAAAAACTAACCATTTAGACTTAAATAATAACGAATATAGTATATTAGTGCGTAGTATAACATATCTTTTTGTTTTTTTCTGTTTTTTAAAGAATAGGCCAAAAAAAATGGAGTATCTGGATATAGAGTAAATGCACACACATACATACACATACTCATAATGTACAATAGCTGATTCATGGAAAAAAAAAGATCTATGAAAAGAAAGCAAAATTCGATTGTTGTTCTTTTCAAGTGGGTGAAACATTATGTACATCGTCATCGAATCTCAATGTTGTGTCATTAATCATCGGCAGAGAAAAAGAGAGGGGAAAAAAAATATATTTACTTTGTTCTAAACCAACTGTATCGTTCTCTCCTTTTTTTTTGATTCATTTTTCTTTTATTTTCTACGCAGAACACAAAGAATACTCGTAGAGTAATACTCACTATACCTATCTGTAATAAATCGAACGAAGAATTTTATTTGGCAGTAGAGCTCAATTATGAGTTCTTAAGAACTAAAAAATAACGTAATTCTATCACGTCGGAAAATATTATTAATTGTGTTTCTGATTCAAGGCTAAAAACAATTGGTAAGTTGTCTGAATAATTTTTTATTTGTTGATGAGTGTTACAAATAGTTATTGTATTAATTATATAATATAATCTAAAAAATAAATATAAACAACAGAATTGAAAAATGAAAAGAATATGTTTTTTGATCAAATTTTTTGAATTTATTTTGAAAAAAAATCATATTGATTTTGTTCTATCTGGTGCAAATTCAATATAAGATTTCATTCAATGGAGATTCATATTGAAACAAATTATTGATATCGTATCAGTTTACAATGTGGAAGTAGAAATGAGAAAATGATCGATCACTCAGCTTTCTAGATTTGCATATGTCAAAAGGTGTAAAAGACGGTTAGTCTGATATCCTGAATAGAAAACATTAGAACAGATTAGAGAAATGAAAATATAGTTACTGTAAGGCTAGGAACGTATCAGAAAATATGTTTTTCAATTATGGATCGTAAGAGGATTTTCTGAGTCAATCCGAGAAGAAAAAAAATAATTTTAGCGAAAAATATTTTGAATCACGACGTCTCAAGTTTTATTGTAATAAGCTTCTCTTGTTGTGATACACTTATTATAAATATGGTAACTGTTCAAAGGTTTAGATAAACTACGAGCAAATACTGAGAGTAAATCACTGCAATAAACGTAATTTGCATTGATTGTAGTCATTTGCTTTTAATCTTTGCTCGTGGCTTATCTCAACCCTCTTCAAATCCATTTTCTGGGATCAACAAACGGGAAATAACTAATGCTAAGAAATCTCATAAGGACGTAAATTTTTTTTTATATCACCCGTGTCACCTTAGAATTGTGTATTAAAACTTGAAAAGTTTTTTTCTTTATGTATCTAATTGCCCGCACTAACATGCCGGAAAGATTTCAACGGAATTGGTTACATCCTGTTTACCGATAATCATTAACATAATAACAAAGAAAAGTGAAAGAAACCGTTTTTTACACATTGAACATCTATTCTTTTGAGCTGATGTCATTCATAATAAAACACCACCCATTCTCAAAGTATAACTTCTTTGGTAACACCCGTTTTTTATTGTATTTAAGAGTAAAAATATATTCATCAAAAATGAGTCAACCAACAGCAGAAAAAAGTGTACAAACTCAAGAAAATTTATTTAATCCGAATATAATTATTAATACGTTGAATAATTATCATGAAAATACGACTACCGAAGTAGCAAATACGTTAGTGTCAATGGCTACTGTTGCTCAACGACCAAATGGCAAGCAAACAGTATGTTTAAACTCGTTTTAGGTAAAACAAGATATAGTAACTAAACTGTTTACATTTTTGTTAAGTCTTTCACCTGTATTTCTCCACAATCAACCCATGCATTACCCGTGATATCTCTTGCCGATTATAATTGTATCCCCACAGCATCAGTTCTTCAAGCAAATGTACAAACAAAATTATTAGCAAAATCAGTTTCAGTAGATAACAATCGTCGAGATTTGATAGTAGAAAATGATGTACAGACTCAAGAAACAACAACAATCAGTAATACGACAAATAATGATAACGATGAATGTTCAATGGATGATACTAGTTTTGATTCATCAATGTCAACAAGTAATTATCAAAGCTCAAGTAATACAACTAGTGATAAAAAAACAGAGGGTAAAGATTCAAATAATAATAAAAAAAGAAGTAGTTATAAAATGAAAACGTCATTAATGAAAAAAAATGAAGATGAAGAAATAATACAGTATGGACCAATTGCTGTTAGACCGAGAAAAAGAACAGCTCCAACATTGGCTAATGGAAGAAAAAGTAAAGATGAATTCGTAAGTATTAATATTATTAAAGAAGAAAAAAAACAACAATTCGTATTCTATTTTTATTTCATTTGTTTTAGTTACCACCTGATGAAGATGTTAGACGTAAACAACGACGAGAAAGAAATAAACAAGCAGCAGCAAAATGTCGAAGAAAACGAAATGATTTAAAGGACATATTAGAAAAGGTATAATATTTACATTTTCATTTTCATTTGATTCTCATATATTCGATTTATCTGGGAATATTAATTAGATGTATCTATCCGAATTACATAATTAATTATATTTTTTAATGTAGGAGGAACGTGTATTGATGGAACAGCAAGATGGATTGAAACATTCACTCGATTCATTGACAGAACATAAACAACAACTTGAATCAATACTTCAACGACATTTATCTCAATGTACGAAAAAACTGAAAATTTCAACACCAACCACTAATAATATTACGAACACAAATTCATTAAATCATTCTAATATTTTGACGAATAAAGAAATACGAAACGATGAAATAAAATCACATTATCAATCTCAACATCATATATTAACAACAGTAAATCAAACACCATCAACGATATCAATTGACAACAATAATAACAATGGTAAAAATAGTGCCGTAACAATTAATTTGGCTAATATTAATCCTAATGACCTATTTACATTAAATTCATCGCGTACAGTAACAGTGCCCGCAACAACATCGACAAATACAGGAGACGTTTCAATTCCAATGATAACAATTCATATTGGACCAGAATTTGCACAAGCATTATTACAGATGCAACAAAATGCCGTATCTGTTGAACAAAAATCAAAATTAACAGAATTATTTGATACACGACCATTAGCGATGACATTAACAAATTTAAATTGTTTACCGAACAATAATAATTCAACAACAATACCCACTCTCACACTAGCTCCATCGTCGACAACAACTAGTGCAGCATTAGATATACAAAATAAAAATACAATCAGTAATATAAAGAACAATAATAACGACTAATTTCTTGTCTTTATATCATAACTTAGCTTATGTTTAGAATAGATATAATAAGTACTTAATGCAGAGTGGATTTTAAACAAATAAATTGACACACCTTCATCCTTATAAGATCTGATACTTTCTGTAGTTTCAGAAAATATTTTCTCAATGTTCTATACGTATCCCTACATTATTGATTTTGGTGGGCATTTTTTTGTTTTGAACGCAAGTCGTTTTTTTTTTGTGTCACCCACTATTGCGCGTGCGTACAAATAACAGTTCTTCTTTGTTGATAACTGTTTCATACCATACTTTTCTTTTGTAAAGCAAACTTATTTAATTCTTATTGTTGTCATTGTAACACGTTAACATGATATTGTATGTTGATAAAGTTTTCCCTTTTCGTTCTGAAAACACAGTTCTATTCCACATTTTCTTACTTCTTTTCATCTTTCTATCATAGTCCTCTCCCGTATTTGTACATACAATTGTTGTTTTTTCCATTGAAAAAAGGTATTATTATGTGTTACAAGTCATTCCAGAACTTTCAGAGGACAATGAGATCGATGACTAGCGCGGGATATGTTTGGTTTTTGTTCTTGTTTTTGTTTTTGTTTTGTTTTCCTAATAGAACATTGTTTGTTTGTCTATTTGTTTGAGTGTTCTTTTCCAATATATGTGTACTTGAAATAAAACGAAGATATTGAAGTAGATTTCATTTGCTTTCTAAAAAGAAAATGAATACAAAATCCATTAACATCAAACATTGCATTCTCAAAAATTTGTTGAGAATTGTTAGTGAATCAATCAATATCTCAATGCGTCGAGTTATCTTATGAGAAATATTGATTTATTACACAGGAATAATCAATCAGTGTTTAAATTTAATAACATAACCACATATGAACAATTTTTAGCATTATGAGCATCACTACTCATATCGGAACTAAAAAGTAAGAGAATTGTATTGTTGTTGTGATACTTCTGTGTTTCTTCTCTTCAACTGCGGTAGCTTGATCTTCGGTAGATGTTTCGCTTGTACTAGTCGAACGGATGTAATTCTGAAACCGTTTAAGTAGAACTTTATCGCTCAATTGATAAGGTTCAGATTGAGGTCTCTAGTTTAAACTGAACTATTTTTAAACTGAAAAATGGCACAATCAAAACAGGAAGTACAGAGAAAAGACTTACGTTTGCTAAAAATAGATGGCGAATACACAACAATTACAGAACCTTCGTAGCGTCGAGAACCTAAAGTGGAATTCTGGTCTAATCTTAGGATCCCCCTAGTCAGAAAGCTACTGCCCAAACGTTGCATTAAAGAATAGAAGATTCAATCGATTCATTTCTTTATTCATTTAAAATGCGATTTCTTTTGTAAAAGCTTTTCTATTAGACGCTGTTTAGATAAGAGGTTGATTAGATCTGGAACAAAGTTGCAGTTTAAGCTTCTGCAACCAGGCTTTGGGAAAAAATTACATAAGTTATATTAGGTTACGACAAACATTAATAGATCAGGTTAGGTTCAGATTGTGAAGGTTTTTATAGGTTAGATTATAGATTGTCAGAAAGTTGTAATCTGCAGGGCTCTAATCT